CTATAAATAGGTGTCTAAGCTTATAGTTTCAAGCATCAAGACAAGTCCAAATAACTACACTTGATACTTGAGAAGTTCAGAGTCTTGTGAGTCTTTTTAAGTCTTCATCTTTTGTAACAAAGCTTCCGCTCAGTTTTCTGTAAGTAAAGTTTCTATAACAAAGCTTCCGCTCAGTTTTCTGTAAGTAAAGTTTCTGTAAGTAAAGCTTCGACTAAGTTGAAGGCGTTTTCTGGTCTAACTCCAAGCCTACGCGTCCTAATTACATTCTGTCAGTTGTCACAAATCCTATTTGTCAAAGGGAAGCTGTCCGTGACAGCCACACGATGGTTCTGGGGCTGTTTTGAATTTTCGACCCCAAAACGCCCTTTTTCGACTAAGTTTAAGGCATTTTCGGGTCTAACTTTAAGCCTACGCGTTCTAAGTAAATTCTGACAGTTGTCACAAGTCCTATTTGTCAAGGAGAAGCTGTCCGTGAGAGCCACACAGTAGTTCGGGGGGCTGTTTTGAATTTTCGCCCCTGGAACGCTCTCTTTCGACTAAGTTTAAGGCGTATTTGACTCTAACTCCCAACCTATGGGTACGAATTACATGCCGTCAGTTGTCACAAGTCCTATTTGTCAAGGGGAAGCTGTCCGTGAGAGCCACACGGTAATTTAGGGGCTGTTTCGAATTTTCACCCCCGAAACGCCCTCTTTCAACTAAGTTTAAGGCGTATTCAGCTCTAACTCCCAACCTATGGGTCCAAATTACATGCCGTCAGTTGTCACAAGTCCTATTTGTCAAGGGAAAGCTGTCTGTGAGAGCCACACGGTGGTTCGGGGGCTGCTTTGAATTTTCTATCCCGAAACGCCCTTTTTCGACTAAATTTATGGTATTTTTGGGTCTAACTCCAAGCCTATGCATCCTAATTACATTCCGACAGTTGTCACAAGTCCTATTTGTCAAGGGGAAGCTATCCGTGAGAGCCACACGGTGGTTTGGGGGCTGTTTGAATTTTCGCCCCCGGAATACCCTTTTTCGACTAAGTTTAAGGCGTTTTCAATTCTAACTCCCAGCCTATGGGTCCGAATTACATTCCATTTGTTGTCACAAGTGGTGTAGGTTACATAAATGTTTTTCCGCCATATCGTATAATCTTATTACATAGGATATTGTAAATGATTAGAAATTTACTTTAAATTAAACAAGTTCAAAGAAATAGAATTTACATCTCCAATTCATGAAGCCAGAAATGTTTTTTAACTAGCAACAAATGTGAGTATCTTCTTCTTTAAACATCATACAAAATTAGAGAATCCAAGTGTCTAAATTAGGTGTAGGTGTCTGACACATATCCCACACCCTTACCCTTGTTGTATACAGTGGACATAGGGGCACATTGAGAGAAGTAGAAGAGTCCATGTGACAGGTACTACAAGTGAACCAATTTGAAAAACTTAGTTATTCTATTAACCATGTTGAAGTGCTATAAATCATAACTCTCAAACAAACCTGGCATAATGTGCAGCAAGGGCATATTAGATGGTAGACACAATCATCCAGTGACCCATCACTACCCTACGAAACAGCAAAATTAACCAAATCATGTCAGCATGATTGAATTGTGATTAAGACAGTAGATTAACCAAAAATGGAAATTTTGCTACGATGACATTGGATCTGAGAATACAGGTCAGTGAGCTAAGTTAGGAATTCAAGAAGTTACGAGTCAATCTCGGTCTATTAAGAGATTGAAATTAAAGCAATTTTGAATTGCTTTCAATGCAAGAAGCGTAATTTTTATAAACAAGAAATTTTTTTAAATATTTCGGAGAATAATTTGTTATCCTAGATTTCTGTTCCAGTACTTTTTCACACCAAAGATATTGAGTTCATGAAAGTGAGTACAACTATGCACACAGAATGGATTGGACTCGTAAGAACGAGTAACCAACATTGGTACAATTTCGATGATAAACATGTGGCATGTATCAAAGAGCAAAGCACTCATGAAACTTTGTGAATTTGTCAAGCCAAACTGAAGAACATCAAACCCTCTATCAAATGTCCACCAAGAACAACTGGTTTAGTTTGGCAGGACTTTTTATTGTTTGACTCATTATTTAAAGAAGAAGAAGAAGAAAAAGAAGAAGAAGAAGAGGCAAAATGATAGAAAAAGCCCTTAATCAAGACAAAAATGTCAAGAAAGCTAAATGAGGAAGAATGCAGTATGCAAACAGAGTAAGTTCAACAATAAGGAAGACAAAAGTAAATCATCAGGAATGTGAAATCTAATACAAGAACCTGAATTTCTAAAAGGACTAAACCAATATTGCGTTATACTATCTTCCCTTTCCTTTCCTTTCATTATTTTCATTTTTTAAAGTTTTTTTCCATCGCCAAAGTTGTCATAGTCTCATAGAGCAAAGGTGGTTTGCAGACTTGGCACAAAATGGACAAATAATATGGAGTCAATTGTATTGATAAGAATATGTAGTCAATGATGCAACCAACAAATTGATTATAGAAATAAATATCACGAGGATGAGACCATTCATTGGAATCTTGTATGCGGTGAAAATAGACATCAATCATTTTAACAGTTTGAGAAAATCACTTAGTCATCTCAAATAGTACAAAGACACACAACACGCTAATTCAATTTCTTGACAATGCCTAAGACCCCAGTCAAAAATTGCTCCCTGAGGGTCCCTCCATTCAAGATAAAAGAAATTTTACATAACCACAGTTGAAATAGCCAAAGGGGCAAAACTTGCAGAAGCTGTGGAAAAATCGAGAAATGGTGGAGGTCATGGATCAAATAATCTATTGCTTCTTGTGGTGAAGTAAGGAAAATAAGTTAAAAACCCAAGCACATCATGCTCTCTTTTACTACAAAAATATTGGAGACTGTCCCAGAGTGAAACAAAAATAGGAAAAAAATATATTAAACAGAGGCCACCTAAAAAATAGGAGTCAAACAATGTAGAATCATAAAAATATATTTTGTCTGTTGTCCCAGGTCCTTTTTGTCATGGGGAAGCTGGTTGTGACATCCGTATAGTGGTTCATGGGCCGTTTCGCATTTTCACCCACCTAACGCCCTTTTTCGGTTAAGTGTAAGGCGTTTTCAGCTCTAACTCCCAACCTACACGTGCTAATTACGTTTCGCCGGTTGTCACAGGTCGTATTTGTCATGGAGAAGCTGGCAGTGACATCCATATCGTGGTTCGGCAGCTGTTTCGCATTTTTGCCCTCTTAATGCCCCTTTTCGGTTAAGTTTATGGCGTTTTTGGCTCTAACTCCCAAACTACACATGCTAATTACATTCCGTCTATTGTCACAGGCAGTGTTTTTAAAGGCTCAAGGCGCACTAAGGCGCTGAAGGTCTCTCGGGGCCTAGGGGCGAGGCGAGGCGCGGGTTTTATTGAAGTAAGGCGCAGAGTCTTTGTAAAAAATAGAAAAATTAACATAAACTAATCATTCATAGTACTAAGACAATTTTTAAAAAAATAAAAAGTATTAAAGATTCAAGACAAAATATAGAATAATTCTCAAAACCATGAAAGTGCATATTACATAACATTTCAATTTTCAAAGATCAAATAATCCACATTCAATAAAATAAAAATATAAACACTAAACATCCAAAACATAAATATCCAACAAATACTAATATACGTCTTAACACTTAAAAACATCAATATCAAAAGAAAGGGTAGGTTAGGTCGGTGTCAGTCAATCATCATCCTCAACATCAATGGCAACATCTTCTTCTCCATCAGTGTTTTTATTATATCCCTCAACATCTTCCTCCTCTGTGTCATCTGAGCCGCTTCTCTTCATCTATTAATTGAAGTGTGGAGTCAATGTTGATGATTTAGATATCCTCGGTTGTGCCTTGGAGCGTGAACTTGTTACTCTACTTGCATGGCTACTTTCTTCTACTCCAGAAGCTCTAGCAACAATGGCCCACGTCAAGCCATCATCATCATCAAACACAGGCTCATTATCTTTCATCTGATTTCTCCATCCATCCTCCAAGCAAACCACTCATTGCTTTCATCAATATTTTGCAAAGATATGGGATCAAGAGTGTTGCGCATGTCATACCTAAATCTCAATGTTCTATTGTATTTGACAAACACTAAATCATTGAGACGTTGTTTCGATATCTTTCTTTCTTGCTATGAAGCTGCAAGTATTAAAAAGATATTAAATTCTAATAATGAGATAAAAAATATTTGAATTGAACAAAAAATTAGTTAGAATGTTAAATACTCACATGTTCGAATACACTCCAATTTCGTTCACAACCCGATGAACTACATGTTAGGCTAAGGACTTTCATGGCAAAAGTTTGCAAGTTTGGAGTATAAGAACCATATGATGCCCACCAATCAGCTGCGATAATCCACTAGTTAGAAATAACAGTTACCAAGTATTGAGTTTTACTGAAAGTATTACTCTGAGTCTATAATATATTACCTGATGCTCTTTGTATTTCTTTGCCTATCGCAACAGACTTGCCAAAAAGACTCTCAGTCTTCATAATAAATACTCATCTCATTAGTGATCAAATCTTGAACAGTGACATCCAAGACCAACCTTGCATGCATTCATAAAACTCATTCATCACTTCATGATCTTTTTGCACCTCTAACGCTTCTAGGTAAAAGAATTCTAGGTTAAGAAAATGCGCAGCTGCATGTAAAGGCCGATGCAATTGGACATCCCATCTTTTGTCGATGATTTCGAAGATTTCATTATACTTCTCTTCTTTATGATCAAATGAACTTGCAATGCATTCTTTCCTATCCATTGCCTCATAATGCATCCCATGGGAGGTTCTTTCTCGTGTATCAACCAATCTAAGCACTTTGACAAGAGGACCCGAGACCTTAAGAGCAAACACAACAGTATTCCAAAATGAAGGCATCAACAAGTTTGTGCCATTCTTTTACCTTGTGGCTCCTTTGCCCATTTGCCTTGAGGTCCAATCTTCGGAGTGACCATCTTTCTCAAATTATTTTTTTGTTGATGCATCCAGACAAAGTCAGAAAGGCGGTTGCAAATCTAGTTTTTGCAGGCTTGATCAAATTCTTCAAATTTGTATAGTGCCTCATCATGTTTAGCAACGTAGGCCGATTGTAAATGTAGCCATGTACTGCAATACCTCTTTCAAATGTCTTTTTCAGTCTAGGTATCTTGAAAATGTCTTCTAACATCAAGTCCAAACAATGAGCAGCACATGGTGTCCAATACAAGTGTTCATACTTAGCTTCCAAAAACCTCCCTATAATGTAACAATAATGAAGAATTATTATTTTCAAGTTTTTAAATTTTAAATACAAAACAAACTATGAGTAAACAATTTTGATGTAAGGAATGAGGAAATATTCTTACCCGCCAACACATTAGCTGCAGCACTATCAGTGATAACTTGCACCACATTCTCCTTTCCAACTTTCTCCACAAACTTGTCTAGTAATTCAAATAGCTTTTGCCCATCCTTTGAATAGCTAGAAGCATCAACCGACTCAACAAACATGGTTCCTCTTGGACAATTAACTATAAAGTTAATCAATGTCCTTCCTCTCTTATCAGTCCAACCATCAGCCATTATGGAATACCCGTATTTTGCACAATCCTCTTTATGATTCTTCATCAAATCTTCAGTATGTTTCACTTTTTTTTGAATTGGGTAACCCGCACTTCATGGTAAGTCAATGGCTTCATACCAAGACCATATTGGCCAATGGCTTCAATCATTGTTCCAAAACTCACATAATTTACTGCATTAAAAGGGAAACCAGCATCATACATCCACCTTGCAAATCTTTGCACTGCCCAAGCTCTCATTTCTTTTTTGTAGGGGTCATTTGCATCAATTTTGGTTTGTTTCCCTTTTGCTTGGTCTCTTCGATTTTTCACCACTGATTCAGGATTTGGTGTGAAGTAAACATCCATAGGCCCTTTTCTCTTTGGCATTTTTTATTTGAATTTGGATTTGGATGAACCTTGGCTGCTACTTGTCAACTTACGGTGTTGATTGACATTGATCTCAACGACATCATCTTCATCTTCATCTTCCATGTCCATGTCATCGAAATCAGGCAACATGTTCATTTCTTCTTTTTGTGTCTTTTTTTTTACATGAACTCTCTAATCTCTTCTCTTACATGAGAAGGACATTTCGGGCAAGCAGTGACATTCCTATAACCTCTCGTGAGGTGTTGTTTCACCCGATAAACACCTCTATTTGATACTTTACCACAAAAATTACACTCAAACTTGTTTAAATTGTTCTCCTCTACCAAATGGGCATATTGCCATGCCGGATCTTTTCTATTACTTTCCGATGTCATTTTCTACACAACAAATTTAATAAATGGAAAAATAATTGTATTAAAAGAATAAATGGAAAACAAATTTAATCCCTAACAGATAAAGGAAAAAAAAAAAAAAAAAAACCAATACCACATTGTATTAATTAATTATTTGTGAATAATTAATTATTTGTAATTTTTTTTTCCTAATAGATAAATTCTTCTTACATATTACAAATAATTTTTTTTTCAATAGCATATTACAAATAATTTTTTTTCCCTAATTTTTGTAATTTTTTTTGTAAATTCTTCTCTTACACTTTTTTTCAAAGACTCAACTCAAATAAATGAAAAAAAAAGAAAAAAAAAAAAGCAAAACAGAGCACTGAAGAAGGAGAGAGAGGAAGAGTCGAAGGCAAAACAGAGCACTGAAGAAGTCGAAGCCCAAAAAAAAAAAAAAAAGCAAAACTGAAAGTCGAAGACGAAGAAGAAGGAGAAGGGGAGAGAGAGTTGAAGTCGAACCTGCGAAGACGAAGCCGAAGCCGAAGTCGAAGTCGAAGTCCAGTGTCGCAGTTGCAGTCGAAGTCCAGGTCCAGCTCCGACAGCCCAGTCTAAGTCGAAGTCGAAGTCGATTGCGAGGCGAAAGAGGAAGAGACGACTTCGATTAGGGTTCATCTGAGTCGTATTTGGCTCATATGGTACATGAGTTGTAATCCTCTGTGATTACGAGCCTTTCGAACACACCCTTAGAGCCGTTAGATCATATCTACCTCTTAAACAATCAGTCGCGCCTAGGCGAGAGCCTTGCGCCTCTCTCGCCTAGTTCAAGTCGCTGCTAAGGCTCGTGCCTAACTAAAAGCGCCTCGCCTGGTACCTGTTCAGTCGTAGACAGTGCGCCTCGCCTCGCCTCGCCTCGCCTCGCCTTGCGCCTAGGCGCGCGCCTAGGCGTGCTTTTCACAACACTGGTCACAGGTCCCATTTGCCATGGGGAAGCTAGTTGTGACATCTATACAGTGGTTCGGAGGCTATTTTTCATTTTCGCCCCCTTGATGCCCTTTTTCGGTTAAGTTTATTGCGTTTTTGACTCTTAACTCTCAACCTAAACGTGCTAATTACATTCCGTCTGTTGTCACAGGTCCTATTTGTCGTGACAAAGCTGGTTGTGACATCCGTATGGTGGTTCGGGGGCTGTTTTGCATTTTCGCCCCCTTAACACCCTTTTTGGGTCAACTTTAAGGTGTTTTTGGCTCTAACTCTCAACCTACGCGCCCGAATTACATTCTGTCTGTTGTCACAGGTCCTATTTGTCACAGGAAAGCTGACTGTGACATCCGTATAGTGGTTTCGGGGGTTGTTTCGCTGTTTCGCCCCCTTAATGCCTTTTTTCGATTAAGCTAAGGCGTTTTCGGCTGTAACTCCCAACCTACACGTGCTAATTGCATTCCGTCAGTTATTACAGGTCCTATTTGTCACAGGGAAGTGGCTATGACATCCATACGGTGGTTCGGGGGCTGTTTGGGAATTGGGTTTGTTTTGATATGTGGGTGATGTGTTGCCTTAGACAATTCAAATATCTTAAAAGGCTTATATGCATGCCAATATCTTAAAAGGCTTATATGCATGCCAGATTTAAAGTACAGACAACAAAATTAATTAGTTGCCTTGGCCAAACAGTCTGACAAAAGATTTTAATTAGACATGAATTTTCCAAAAAATCTTATTTTAGTTAAAAGTCAATTTGATGCTCCCATGGCATTCTCTATGCAATCTAAAGGTGTGGTACACAACACATGCTGTGCATGGTAAGTAATAAAGGCCAGTGTCATGTCAACCGGCACATACTGAGACATAGGCAAGAATAATACACTGATTGATCAGTGGATTCTCTCATCTCAAGTTAACAACAAAGTTATTCATGACTAGAAAAAGGGTCCACATCTCTACTCTAGGTTCAGAAGCCATAAATAATTAATTCGTTGAGCATGCTGTTGTAGGACAGCAGTGTGAGCTAAAATGGCATTATCTGCAGTTAGTTATAGGGAAGGCTAAAACAACTGAGTGTTAAGTCTATGATTTGGTTTGATGATATCCATTATACATTGGTTGGTTGTGCTTAACTGTGATATATGCTTGAAAAACCTCAACACAACACAACACAACTAGCCTTACATCTGAATCTGATAAACTTGTGCTTTGAATTGCTAAGAGGCTTTTATAGCTTTCAATAACTAATACTGATTACCTTAACTGCAATTATGGCATGATCAAGAAGTGGAAGCAGATTGGGATGGGTAAACAAGGACGAAACACAGATCTCCTCCCTCACCACGTCTAACTGCTCACTATTCTGAGTGAGAACTTTCTTCATTGCATAAGTTCCATCATCTGCATCAATCCAAATAAAAAGCAAGATCGGATTATATTTTTCCTTCTTCATCAAGCCATCAGCAAATGTTGAAACCATTATGGAACTCCATATGACAAGACAATCACATCATCAAAACCAAGGATGGACCAAGAGGGGGGGCAATCCCTACGATTTAAAAAATAAAAATAAATAAAAAACTTTACTACAATAGTATTAGCTATTACTTATCTCCAAATTATAAAAGCTCGTCCCCACCAGTTTTTTTTTTAAAAAATTTTAAATGATTGTCCCCTCTGATTTTTTTTAAAAAAATTGACTGCCCTCCATATCTATTAAACATAGGGGTCAAATTTGAAAATTTTTAAAACAAAATTGACTAAAATATATCCCGAGAAAATAGTTTATCAAAGCCATTAGTGTCAATGACAAGCATTATTCTGTAGGCTGCAAAGAAGAAAAGAAGGTGAATGAGAAGTTAGCAAGTTACATGATCATATTCATTCAAAAAGACATTGTTTGGGATCTTAATGTCTATTCTACCATAGATTCATTTAATGACATGAAAGAATGTGGAATACAACTCAAGATGCCTCATTTCAATAGAAATATTGTCTTACAATTGCAATTTTTTCTAACTCACAGTAGATAGAAGCAAACATGCTTATTATATATGTTGTAATCCATACATTTGTTCTTGCTTGGTTTTTTGGGTGTTTTGGTAAACGTTTTGGTTGATTCACTGGGTCGGCAAAGAGGACGATCCATATCTGGTTAGGATGTTCATTCGGGCGCTTCTTTGCGCGTGGAAGTTTGAGGGGTGTTCTCCGTTCAGATCTATGGAGGAGTTTCGGTGTTTTGGATGATCCGGATCTGTGTAAGATTTCATTCGAGCGCTTCTATGTGTGTGGGAGTTTGAGGGGTGAACGCCGTCCAGATGTGTGGTGCTATCTCAGCGGTTGTTTTGATTAAGAGGTGTTCGGCGTTGGGTCGTCAATATAGGGAAGGTGTAGTACCTGCAGTGGGTCTTGTTGTCATGAGTGTTGAACGGTATTGGGTGTGTTTAGAGTTTTGAACCACCGCGTAGGAGAGGTGTGGCCTTGGGTGTTGTCCGTGGGTGTAGTTGGGTGTTGGCTGTGTGTTGTCTGGCGTGGGCCTTCGCTGGGCAGTGGGAGCGAAGCAGCATGTGGCCACGGTGATGTTGGAGATGTCAGGCATGGGAGTTCTTCCAGCCATGGTGATGTTGGCTATGGAGTTTTCCGGCCAGAGAAGCGTAGTGAAAAGATTTAGCAGGTGGGCGTTGGGAGGTGCAGAGGAGCGTGGTGTAAAGATTTAGCAGTAGTAGCAGGTGGGCGTTGGGCTTTGGGAGTTGTCAGGCGTTGGTGTGCAGCAGGTGGGCGGTAAAGATATGACGCAGCATAGGTGTTGGGAGTTGAAGCAGTTTAGGAAAAGCTTTGATGGAGTATAGTGTTCAAACCGTAATAAGAGCCAATTCAATAATCAGCAAAAGTCAATTCCTCTGCTGCTTGCAAGCCAATCAATGGGCCTTATTACTCGTGTGGGAGTGTAGCACAGGTGAATAGGTGAATATCCTCAGAGGAGCGTGCAGAATAGGTGGAAAGCACAGGTGTGGGCGTATAGCACAGGTGGGTGCTGGGTGTTGTCAGGCGTGGGTGTGTAGTAGGTAGGCGTTGGGAGTTGAGGCAGCACAGGTGAAAAGTTTTAGTTTGAAAAATAGCAAGTGGGCGGGAATGCTTTGGTGTTTTGGTGTTTGGTGTTAGGTTTTGAGTTGGCTTGGTTTTTGTGGGCAGATTTTGTGGGTTTCTTGTATTTTATTTTATAGTTAAGTCCTTCTTAACTTCTTTTTTTTTTCTTTTTTTTTTAAAAAAAAAATTTTTTTTATTTTTTGTATAAAAAAAAAAATCGTGAGGCCGAGGGGTTGGTTGTATGGATGCGAGTAGCAGTAGTAGGGGTAATTTGTACTTTCCGAATCTCTCTCGATGCATGTCATCTTCCTGTACCTTTAATTTCATGTTGTTAATGAATTTTTTACTTTGCCGATCAAAAAAAAAAAATATTCATTCAAAAAGACATTGTTTGGGATCTTAATGTCTATTCTACCATAGATTCATTTAATGACATGAAAGTGTGTGGAATACAACTCAAGATGCCTCATTTCAATAGAAATATTGTCTTACAATTGCAATTTTTTCTAACTCACCGTAGATACAAGCAAACATGCTTATTATATATGTTGTAATCCATACATTTTAAAAGTTCTGTTAGTATATATTTCCCTTAAAATCTTAGGTCCCTCCCTGGTCAAAACTATACATCAGATCAATCAACATGAACCAAGCAATAAACACATCACCCACATATCCGTACCTTGGAAGCACTTCCCTTAGACCACCCAATGCTTAGCCCTCCACCAAAATATCGAAGTTGTCCACATGTCTTTCTTGTCATGACATCATACATATAAAATGCCATGAGCAAAAGCATGACTTATACGTATGTTCAAATAATCGCTCGGATCCTCAGGTACCTGTTCACAAGAAAAGTAAATTTCATAAGTAAATTGCCATGGCTTACAAAATCTAATTAGCACAATGAAATCCAATAAATACGAGCTACCATGAATTAACTTTGTCTGTGATAACCAATGAGAATGAATTTAAAAAGAAAAAAAAACAAATAAAAAAAAAAAGACATGATCAATAGTTCAACAATGGGGGAAAATCAACATTTTAATGTACACCTAGAAATTAAATAAAAAGAGATCTTGAAACAAATCATGAAACTACTAGTTACTAGAAACCATAACAAAGAGGATGAGATTATGATGAATGTTCCTCTAAAGACAAATGCTGATTTCAAGGAAACAACCAATGAAGCTGTTAGGCTTTCTCTAAAATCAAGCCGTAGTGAAAAAAAATAATTTAATAACAGTGAATTAAATAAAGAAAGCTAGTCAGGAAACAACAAACGCAGGACAAAAACGGAGAAAACACTCGTAACAACCATTACAAATGCAAATATATGTTCCTATAGGTCATATTTGGCACGGGGAAGCTGACCGTTACATCACAACATTGGTTGGCGGGCTGTTCTGTATTTTCGCCTCTCGAATGTCTCTTTTCAACCAAGTTTAAGGGATTTTCGACTCTAACTCCCAACGTACGTGTCCTATTTACGTACCGTCTATTCCTGCAGGTCATATTTAGCACGGGGAACCTGCATGTTACATCACAACATTGGTTGGGGGTCTGTTTCACATTTTCGCCACCCGAACGCCTTTTTTCAACTAAGTTTAAGGCATTTTATTAGCTGCGGATCCCCTGTACCAATTCTCTGTCCTGACTTCCTGTACCATGCCTCTTCTCTCACCATGTCGCCTATTGAAACCAAACCTAACTCTATCACTTAACAATACGAAACTCTTTTACATATATTTTTTTATTGTTAAATATAAAAATCCAAAGAACCCTGATGCATCCATTCTTTCTACCTGCCCTGTGTAATGCACCTTTAGATTTCCAACAACAACACTCTACATATATGACATAATAGAGAAAGAAAGTAGTTGGAGAAATGGAAAACGTTGCCAATTCAGCACAATGTTCGCAAGTTGCAGAGGTGAATTCACGCTATTAATGGAAAATACATTGTAAATTAAGGGGATGGACATTTCATAAGACCATTTCCAACTTTTATTTTAATTTGATTAAAAAAATGATTCCCTTGATTTGATGAAAGGAATAGAAAATGTGAAGGATAAAAGATACTCTAAGGAGAAGCTGGACAGTTCATAACACCATTTCCAACTTTTACATACCGTATGTTCCTATAGGTCATATTTAGCACGGGGAAGCTGGCCGTTACATCACAACATTGGTTGGGGGGCTGTTTCGCATTTTCACCCCCTGAACGCCTTTTTTCAACTTAGTTTAAGGCATTTTCGACTCTAACTCCCAACCTACGTGTCCTATTTACATACTGTCTGTTCCTACAAGTCACATTTGGCATAGGAAAGCTGGCCTTTACTTGACAACATTGGTTTGGGGGCCGTTTTGTATTTTTGCCCCTCAAATGTCTATTTTCGACTAAGTTTAAGGCATTTTCGACTCTAACTCCCAACCTATGTGTCCTATTTACGTACCGTCTATTCCTACGGGTCATATTTGTGTTTTTTGTATTTTAATGAATATTTTAAAAATAATTGATCGTGAATATTTGTGTACTTACTATAGGTAAAAGTGAATCAATAGCCTAAAATAGTCACGTGTGTGCTAGCAGGTATGATATTCAGTTAAAAATATTAATCTCGTAAAATGTTGTAAAGTGAACTGATGTTAATAGTTTAAGGTGGAATTTTTGCAAAATAATAGTTCAAAATGACATAGTTTGAGGGGGAAAGTGAATTTTTTCATAAGTGTTTTTATTGCATGATTTTTAAATTAACAGTGGAGGGTGCTTGAAGATGATGTTTTCATTGTTGTTCATTCTAATCTACAGGCATAAATCAATTAAGGACCCAAAAGATGAAATTTTCAAACGCTTCCTGAATCTGAAGCAGATAGCTTCTAGGTTAGTTCATTCTCCCAACCTTCCTCTTCTCTATTTTGTTATTGAATTTTTAAAGTTTTGATTAGAGTTAAGGTTGTTGTGCGTGACTTCTTTCCATACTTCAAGCTTAGTATTTTATAAAGAAAGGATCACTAGAGGCAGTGTTGGTTAATCGGCTACCATTTGTTTGTAAAATTGTCTATCAAATTGTTTTTATTTTCTTGTTTTTTATTTGGTGAGAATGATTCTGTTTTCTAGTTTTGTTCTGATTCTGTTTTTCTGTTGTAGATTTGAATTATTGGGCTCACACCGCCACATCGGGTGGATTTCATGGAATGGGCTCCAGGTTCGGTATAACCCATTAACATTGATTAGTATTTTTTTTTCTTTATTAATCTGCAGTTTTTGAACAGGCCACAAATTTTAAAAAGTTTTAGCTATCTGATCTAGTTTTGCTTTGTTGAATTTATAAAGATCACATGGCTAAATAATGAAGTTGGAGAACTACATGAAAATAGTGCCAAACACACAAAGTCCAGTAGATATACATTCCAATCAATGGAAATAACCAAGACAACATATAATTTGCAAAGATATTAACATGCAAACCACTTAATAATGCTTAAACCAACTGCTATTTAGTAGCCAGTCAAATATTTAACCACATGAAACAAAATTTCTTGTTCAAAGCTATGCAGAAGGAAGAAGAAACTGAAGAGAGAAGAGAACGTGTGAGGAAGCAACAAACAAACTTTGGGAAAAAAAAAATTCAATAGCCAACCTCCATAGAGAAATGTTTATAGAATTAGTTTGAAAAGCGTTACCATCTGTTAAGTCACTAAAATCGTCTTGTGACTAGCTCATGTCCATTAAGCACCACATCATATGCTAGAAAATAAAATAACCAAAATTAATCCCAAAATAAATCAAGGAAACTAAACCTTAACCTAACATTTCTTAGTTTTTCTTTTTTTATTTTTTCCCTTCTTGTTCCTGGTTTTATTTTTATTTTTATTTTGTATTATAATTCTTTGTGCAAGTCTTGATACTTTAACCATGATTTGGACTTGATACAAGTAGTACTATTATCATCATCAAAAGCCAATTTCCATTTCACGTTCATTTTGAATTTTATTTGTTACATATGAAGGTTTAATTTGTTCAATACACTAGTTTATAAAATAAATAAAAAATAAAGACAACTGAAATTAAGGCATCAAGAGGTTAAGTATTTGTAACATCTGAATAGAGGTTTACAGGAAGAAAAAAATTTCAACATTTCAAGTATTTTGTTCTCAACAAAAACCACAACAACACACACACAGGAGTTACTGCGTGAGCTGATCAACAAATCAGGAAAAATAAATTGGTTCATAAAATAAATAAAAAATAAAAACAACTGAAATAAAGGCATCAACATGTTAAGTATTTGTAACATCCGAATAGAGGTTTACAGGAAGAAAAAAACCTTGATTAGGCTCTAGGAGTTATAGCGTTAGTCGTGTGTGTCAAGTTTCAATGACATCCGACGCCGTTTAGTGTGTCAACCGGTTCAAAATATAGTTTCTAAACAAGTTTTCACAAACGGGAATTAGGCTCTAGATTCAAAATCAGGAATCGATTTCGAGTCCCGTCTTTTCCTACAAGTCATTTGTGCCTAGTTGGTCATGTGTGTCATGTTTCGTTGACATCCGATGCCTTTTAACCAATTTAGTGTGTCAACCGATTCCGGAAAAGAGTTTTTAAATTACAAGTTTTCACAAACGGGAATTATGCTCTAGATTCAAAACCGGGAACCGATTTCAAGTCCCGTCTTTTCCTACATGTCATTTGTGCCTAGTTAATCGTGTGTGTCAAGTTTCGTTGACATCCGACACCGTTTGACTATTTTAGTATGTCAACCAGTTCAGAAAAATAGTTTCTAAAGGACAAATTTTCACAAATGGGAATTAGACTCTAGATTCAAAACTGGAAATTGGTTTCAAGTCTCTTCTTTTCCTACAAGAAAGCCTACAATAGTTATTCATCTCCACAGTACATGCAATATGAAATCACTTTAACAAATAATGACAAAACATAAATTTAACAATCTTGATTTCAATTAGACTTTCAACTTTAATTCATGGGATAAGAACACAACTAACTGCATTAGAATATGTAACAAAACAACCAATAAAGTTCAGTTGGAGGTACATTTTACACAAGTCCCACATAAAGTTTGTGCAAACATAACTGGTGAGCATAGAAGAAATTGAAGACATGTATAAGTGAATAAAAATACCTTTAGATTTTTATATATGAATCCCTTAGTGTTCTGTAGGTGGTAAAACACGATTTCCAAAATTAGTAGAAAATGATGAAAAAAAATTCTTGAGAAGAGCTTAGAAGATGATCTAACACAGAAAACAAGAAGTAACTTCCAAAAAATAAAATTCTAAATGCACTCTAAGATTGAGAAAGAGTTGAAATGATGAAGGACAAATACTTCTATAATCAATATTAACCTTCTAGATTTATTATCTTTGCAGAAAAAAGGATACAATAGGGATGGCTTTATTCTATAATGATTTTGTCATTTCAATTTGCTTGTTTAGAAAGTACATATATCACAAAAAGAGTTGTAATTGAGAGGATTAGAGTGTAAGATTAATAATTGGAATCACATCACAGGCTATCTTGGGAAAAGATTGATATTGATAAGTAAAAAAATAAAAATAAAATAAAAACCAGAATATTTACCTGTATGGCAAGTTCCCTAGTTGGGCAGATGACAATTACCCCTGTTCAGATTTGATGTAACAACTCCACAGCAGGTATCAAAAAGGCAAGGGTCTTTCCAGAACCTGTCCTTGCAGCTCCAAGAACATCTTTGCCTTCCAAAAGTGGCGGAATAGATCTAGCTTGGATCTGCAATTGGAATCAGAAGTTAACTCAGGGATATATGTTCTATCTAAGGATATCCACATAAAGTAAATAGTTATGACAATACAAATATAACAATCTGCATATCAAATTTACATAGAAATAATTCATGCACTCTGTTTATAAAGAGATAGGTAATTCATTCTGTCAAGAGCAAATTATGTTAACAACAATGATCAAACTCAAAGATTCATTTACATACGGGAAGCGTGTAATAACATCACGGAGTGCTAGAAAATTCAGTCAACTAGGTTTCTTTGTTTTCTGTCAATGACAATAGGTGAATAATGGTATGCCACTTTTATAATACATGAGAACTGGGAATCCATTAACACGTTGAGACCTAGAAAAAACATTTCAAATCTTTTCCTATCACCTCCAGGCATATAATTTGGGCACACATATTTTCTGAATTTTAATTATTAATTCTCCAGTTACTACTAGAACGGGGAAAAAAGGAAAACAAACATTCATATATATTTGTTTTTTCCTTTGAAAACTGTACGAATGTGAATATCTAGTTAGTAAACCATGTTAGTAGTATCTCAGGATATTCTTTCAGTCTCAAAATACAATGAATATGAGCTACGAGTCCTCTGCAACCAACAGAGTACAGCATAAGGGCATTCAACAAGGAAAGTCCCAGAATAGCAAATAGGGATCAAAACCAATCACACTGCTTCATTCAGCAACCAAATTTAGTTGCCACTTGACCTTAAGATATGTGACAAACAACCAAATCCAGCGTTCCTACCTTGCACGAGAAGACCAACAAATTACATGGATTTAATAGATGGGAATCAACAGCATTCTAGCAATGTCAGTAGTTAGTGTTGCAGAGAATGGAAGCATTTGTTTTTGGGTTGCTGTTTCTTTTACTCCAAAAATTGATGACATGAAGATTTCTACCAATTAAGCCACTATTTTTTTTTTTTTTTTTTTTTTTTATTTATTTTTTTTTTGGAACTAGGAAATGCCCTCAAGCTACAAGGGAAAATAAAAAAGTAACAAGTCCTAAAGATAGGCAGGGGGATTCTGAACCCAATCTAAAGGTAAAACTCCCTTGAATTGAGCAGAAGCTAGCCAATGGGCAGCTCAGTTGACAATCAAGCCACCTTGAACTAGAAAATAGGCTAAAAAATAACCAGCCCACTAAAACAGGGTTCCAAACACCACAAAGATGAGGTCAAATGTATGGGAACCCATATCATTGACAGAAATTTATGAAAAAGTAACCATTTGTCAAAAAGTTTTGCATAGCATGATATGACAAACTGTAACATTTTATAGAGAAACCACATTTAATTGATATAGATACCTCCGTTCATATATTGAACAGGTAAATAATTACTATAAAACCGCAGGTGAAAGACAAGTTGAATTTAATCTTGGTTAAAAATAGATTACCTGGGACAAAATTCGCTGCTTGTTCCTAATTTGAGTCCTTGCCTTGTTCACGACTGAGTTAGGTGACTTCTAGAACCTCTGTATGAAAGAGAAAATCAGATTAGAAGGAAACTAATAAAATATAATAAAGAAAAAAAATAGATGTGTGGCCTCTGGGTTTTCAAGAAACACAGAAAGCAAATAACAATGGGCTCAGGTATGTGTAATCTGATATATTTATTTATTTTTAAGCATATTTTTTGGGGTTTTCATATTTCAATTGTATAAGGAAATGGGGTTTTCTTCAATCCACGTCAATCAAATTAATTACAGGAGGCAAAAACTACAGGTTTAGCAAATTCAAGGTGAAGAAACTCTTGAGAGGTTGAACAACGAAGGGGCAAAGATTTGACAAGTTGAAAATTATAGTTAGGGTTTGGAATTGGGGGAATGAGAGAGATAGATTCGGAGCTCAATGTTGAATTTAAAAATTGAAACAATCAGAATTTCAGAACTGCAAAAGATTGTATTTAAGTAATTAACAAATCTAATTCCCATATTAACATATCAAACAAAAAAATGAGACGATCAATGAATGAAAATGATCACAAAAATGATTAATATAGCTAATCTAACAACATAAAACCCTAATTCGGATAGATTCGGAGCTCAATCTGTGTTAAAACAACAAAATTGAGATCCAAAAACCCAAGAACGAATCAAACCCAGATCTGAAACAATCGATCAATCACCACAATTCGGAATTGAAGCAAACCCATATCTAAAAGAGAGAAGCAGATATCAAACCTGATCGAATTGGAGACAAGAAGGTACCCAAGTCCAGATCCGTTGATGCTTTCGGGTAGAGAGAGAGGAGCAAAAATTGCGAAGAGCTCCTAAAATCGAATCAAACTGTATTTGTGTTGTTCAAATAATGGCAATGTGAGAGAGAAGAGCCGTTTGGGAGGGCTTGGAATAACTAGTCCAAGTCCAAATCCAACCAAGTATCTCAATGTAAAAGAGAACCTGTTTTTAATATAGAGGAAGGGAGAGAGAGAGAGAGACCGAGATCGACAGAGAGAGAGAGAGAGAGAGAGCAAGAGCGAGATAGACAGGGATCGACAGAGAGAGACCGAGATCGATAGAGATCGACAGAGAGACACCGAGATCGACAGAGAGAGAGCAAGAAAAAAACTTGTGATTTGCGGCAATGGCGGTGAGCAACGGTGGCCAGCGACGGTTGGGTGGTGAGCAAGGGTGAGGTTTGGTGGTGACTATTCTGTGTGTGTGTGAGACAGAACAGAGAAAGTGTTGGTGTGAAACAGAAGAAGAGGGGCGTCGGTGGTAATAAAATTTTCAACCTTTAGCAACTAAACTATTATTTGTCGATAAATATTAATCAATAATAACTAATTTTTGAAAAGTTACACCTTTTGTGAAATAATTTTTTTCATAAAATTTACACCTTTTACTAAAACTTACACACTTTCTGAAAATTTACACATTTTTGTAGAAATGCTTACACCTTTTCTGAAAAGTTACTCCTTTTGTGAAATAATTTTTGTCATAAAATTTACACATTTTATTGGAACTTACACCTTTTGTGAAAATGAAACTCACACCTTTTGTGAAGCTACTTACATCTTTTGTGAAAAAACATACATTATTTCTGAAAAGTTATACCTTTTGTGAAATAATTTGTTTCATAAAATTTATACCTTTTGCTAAAACTTCCATGTTTTCTGAAAATTTACACATTATTGTGAAACTTACACCTTTTCTGAAAAGTTACTCCTTTTGTGAAATAATTTTTGTCATAAAATTTACACCTTTTATTGGAACTTACACCTTTTGTGAAAACGAAACTTACACCTTTTCTGAAATTACTTGCACTAATTCTGAAAAATTACACCTTTTGTGAAATAACTTCTTTCATAAAATTTACACTTTTTACTAAAACTTACACATTTTTTGAAAATTTACACCTTTTTGTGGAAGTACTTACACCTTTTTTGAAAAGTTACTCATTTTGTAAAATAATTTGTGTCATAAACTTTACACATTTTATTGGAACTTACACCTTTTGTGAAGCTACTTACATTTTTTATGAAATAACTTACACTAATTCTGAAAAGTTACATCTTTTGTGAAATAATTTCTTTCATAAAATTTACACTTTTTGCTAAAATTTACACATTTTTTGAAAATTTACACCCTTTCGTGGAAGAATTTACACATTTTCTAAAAAGTTACTCCTTCTGTGAAATAATTTTTTTCATAAAATTTACACCTTTTGTGAAATGAGTTTTGTTTTCACAAAAAGGTGTAAGTTCCAACAAAAGGTGTAAATTTTATGAAAAAAATTATTTCACAAAAGGTGTAACTTTTCAAAAATTAGTTATTATTGATTAATATTTATCGACAAATAATAGTTTAGTTGCTAAAGGTTGAAAATTTTATTACCACCGACGCCCCTCTTCTTCTGTTTCACACCAACACTTTCTCTGTTCTGTCTCACACACACACAGAATAGTCACCACCAAACCTCACCCTTGCTCACCACCCAACCGTCGCTGGCCACCGTTGCTCACCGCCATTGCCGCAAATCACAAGTTTTTTTCTTGCTCTCTCTGTGTTGATCTCGGTGTCTC